TAACAAAACCTAGGATGAGACCATTTTGGCTCCAAATTTGAATCCATTTGGGGCTTATAGATACCCCACTCATCCCTGCTCGGTCAAGATAAGAACTTAAACAAAAATAGTATGAAAACTCTGTTATAATTCCTTAAGAATCCCCCTCTAGCTCTAAGTTTCAATTATAGTTTAAGAGACGGGTGAGTGGCTTGTAAAGGTTATCTCCTAAACTTGAGAAAAGGAGAAAAGGGTTGCAAGAGGGTAGTTAATCATCATCCATTGAAAGAATATCGATAGTGGAAGTCGGTGGCCTCGATGGAGGAGGAATCAAGAGTGGATGTAGGTCACGATGACCATAGCACTATAAATCCAGTGTACTCTCTTCTTTGCTATTTATCTCTATTGCTTACTAATTTTATTGCTCACCGCACTATGCACTTACTTTAAGTCAAGCGCACTCAATATCGATTTTCATTGAATGAGATTTATTTTGAATCGAATGAAAATTTTCAAACCATCAAAAATTTTACGAAAGCACTAATTCACCCCCCTTTTAGTGCCAAAATGGTCCTAACACCATCTCTGCAAATACCACATTCTTAAAGCTACCACTATCAGTAATCACTTAGCACACCTTGTCGTGAGAAGTGTATTAGGTGTGAAAAATGTTTTTCCTCACCTAACTTTTAACCTCAGCTACATAGGATACTTTTAAGCTATGTTATACCACAATAGACATATCATGATTAGCATAAGTCACCTCTTTCTTATAATCATTATCATATTCTAGTTCGTTGCTGGCTTCATCTCCTCCATCACTATGATCTTCAACCAAAGTAATAATCCTCCTATTTAAACAATCTGAAGTAATATGCCCAAAATCCTGACATTTGAAGTATTTTCGGCTACTTGGTGTAGAAGAATTAGGTGTTTGTTTGTTGCTAATAGATCCTTTACCCTTGTCTTGCACCTTTGATACCACCTTGCTTTGGAGAGTATGCTTAGAATTTTCTCCTCTTGTATAACCTTCTTTTGACCCGTATTGAGAATCTTTTTTAAACTTCTATTGCTTCTCAACTTTTAAAGCCAACTCGCTCATATCATTTAAAGACCAAAATGGCTAGAGTTGTACCATTTTAGCAATCTCATATATCAGACCTCCTAAATATCTTGCAATGGTTTGCTCCTCTAGTTCCACAAGCTCTCCTTTTAACATGAGATTATCATATGCTATGTACTCCTCCACACTAAGATTTTTTTACTTGAAATCATAAGTTTTGAGAAAGATCTCTTATCTATAGTTGTTAAGCAAGTATTTTATCTTCAACTCCCTTTTCATTTTCTTCCATGATGTTACTCTTCCCCTCATATTCTCTTTGCTTATTTAAGTTTTTCCACTAAAAAGAAATATTCCTTCCGAGTTTGAGTGCTACAAGCTTTATCTTCTTTTGTTTTGGTGGTTCATGAAACTCAAACATTTTTTCCATCATGTTAAACCAATCAATAAAGTCATTAATATTGATTTTATCTTCAAACTTTAGAATATCTAACTTTGGGTTATATTTGTTCTGTCACTCATCTTGGTCTCTATATCTTACTTGTTATCCTCCCAACTCCCTTGTAGACTATGTAATAATCTTTGTAGCTGCAATCTCAAGAACTTAACGTCATTTTCATAACTATTATTTTTATTAACTACAATTTTTTCTTTTCGTCTTATCATGATCTCTAGCCTTTAGCTCTGATACTAAATTGATACTGGGATAATGAGGAGTGGAATCTGATTGTATTTGTGAAAACTCTTTAAGTTTTCTTTTTTAACTCTATATCTCTTTGGTTTATTATAGAATAGGTTTAGTCTTTGTATCTCTCGGATATTTCCTTAAGTGGTGAGTTTTTTTTTTTAAGTTATGTATTCTTGTTTAATTATCGGTGAGTTTTTGTATCTCTTTATGATTTTAAACTTGATGAATCTATTTATCTTCATTCCAAAAGTGTTTCCAACAAATAAAATTATAAGCTCTTCAAATTTCATTTCTCATTATCCCAGTATCATATATAATACATTGATTCTAGTTTGATCTCAAAATTAGAGTATCAACCTCAAGGAATAATCTAAATGCTATCAAATTTTCAAGAAAGCTTTCAATTATGACCATATGGACATCTATAACAAAATTTCTAATTTAGAGATATTTTTTGATATTTTTATTTTTTAAATCAAAATAATTTAGTTTTTTATTTTTATTTGTTCTCATTTCCACCAAAACATGATGGATTAATGTTTTGTGATATTTCAGCTTCTAAATAGGTCTGTATTTTAATAGATTACTAAATACATTGTAACGCTTTTAAAAAAATACTGTAACTCAATTCAAAAACACTCTTGCTTAATCTTAATTAATTCAAATTCTTATAAACAATAATTATTAACCCTGCTGTATGTATTAAGATTTAAAAAAATATTTTATTTGAGAGATATTAAGTAATTTTAAATAAAAATTAAGAATATTTTAATATTTTTCAAAATAATGGATGACAAGTGCTTATATTTTTACATAACCTTAAACTATAATTTTAAAAATATTATTTTATTTATTTAATTTATTGGAGAATGATGACAAAATATTTTAGTTAAAATATTTTTAGTGGACTTACAATGCTTTGTTACAAATATTAAAATTTTCATGAACAATAAATATCAATTTTACTATAGGTTTGGAGATATCATAAAATTATCAATACGTGAAATGGAATGATTTTGGATGAAATTGTGAAGGCCTTGACATATTTCAAAGTGAACTATAATGAAAATTAAAATTTTGTTCATTTTATCTTAAATTTAGGTCTAATATTTTTAGAAACTTTAGAATATTTTATAATCATTTATTATGAGTGAATGATAATTAAAAAATAAGATGTTAGTTAATTATGATGTATTCATTAATAAAAAAATATATAACTTTATTAAAAAATACTGTAAATAAAAAAGACTATAACTCCATCCTAAAATATTATCAAATCTATTCAAAAATATTGGATCAGTTTAGAGCAAACTAGATTTTGCCATAAAATTATTGTTTAGGGGTATTTTTTGGTCTTTTCATAAGGGGAAGAGCTCACTTTGAAAAATATAGAAACGATAGAGCTATTTGAAAAAAAATCCAAAACTTGGAGCTTTTCCAGAAAAATCACCCTTTTTATTTTCTACCCAATCCCATTATAAACAGTCTATGAGAGTGCCTAAAATATGAAAAGAATATGAACTGATAATTTTGCATGGTGACAAAAGAAAATCCTATATGAAATTAGCGATTTTTGCATCAAGCGAGATAAAAGGATTTAAGATAGAGGATAGGTAGCATCATTTTCTTTCACCTTAGTTTCAAACACCTGTCATGGAATGTCCTTTGGCATGATAAGAGTTGGTCAAACCCACATCAATCCAGAAATTATCATCCACAAAAACCTTTTCAAATACTATGTTTTATACAAATCAATTTCATGTAAAAATTTAATGATTGACAAAATACTGTCCCTCGTACAACTCATTGGCATGTTAAGATTTGTATGCAGATGATGCAGTAATTACTTAGGTTTGCACATCAACTCATTATCATCAGCATTCATAAATGCAATGAGTGTATTCTCCGGCACAATCAATCTGATTATTACTGTCTATAAAGATATTGATGTAACAGCACAAGCTCCATATCATCAGTGAAAAAATAGGTAGTGTTAACAAATTTCCTACCTTCTTGTTATGTCCAGCTTTCTAGCAATTTCTTCCTTCTTACTACACGGGCAACCCTGCGTTGGAGTAGTTTTGTCCTCGATAATGAAGTAATTACTAAGAGAGATGCAAAAAGATAGCCTGCTGCCAGTAATTGTCACGGTACTTCATGACTGTTTCCGCTGTTCGGTGTAAACAAAATATTACTGGTGAAAGTTCAAATGCAGATAGCATAGATCGTCCTCCATGAAATCTTGATGATATGCTTCAGGTAAATGAATCACTGAAGTCAAAGATGAAGCTGGCAAAATATCCAAGTTCATCTAGCAATTCTCACCCAGATACAGCAGCAAAGCTCAGCAAAGTTTGTACAAATGAACCTTAAGTAAAGCCATGAGAAGAACCTCGATTTTTGTTTAACTAGATGCAGCATGATCATTTACCAGAAAAGAAAATTCATGCTGCAGTATAATCACGATCTTTTTTTATATATCAGACTAGTGATCGAGAAATATTAGCTGATTTGGGATTTGCCATTTCTGCAGGCACATTCTCAAGCTAGGATCATAGTCCCAAAGGCCAGAGAACACTTGACGTTCTAATTTTTTCTTCCTTCCACTGATCCAATTGTTATGAAGTATTAAGCATCCCAACTTCATACAAGAAGACCTAACATCATGTTTTTCCCATAGGCCTCTGTAAGCTCCATTTGGAAATAGGTTCCTGTCCAGGAAAATCACAGTCAGATTTGTATTGGGCTCTTGACACTTATCATCACCCATGCGATTGACACCGCCTTCCCCACATAGAACATCATAGAAACTTGGTTGTTCAGATAGTTCTGAGGCAGATGCATGCTTCACCACCATCTCAAATGCAGCAATTGTTGACATCTCAGAGCGAGCAAAGTAGAAACCAGAATTTAAACGCCGTGGCAAGTTTATAGGCCCTGCCATATACAAATAAATGAAGGCAGAATTTAAGAAAAATCTTTCATGGCTATAAAATAAAACATAAAATTTCAAAATAATGATTCAAATAATCATATCCTTAAGTAGCTATTTCTTAGCAAATGATGCTATCATATAATCTGCTATCGTCAACTTAAAATCTAAGTATCATGATATAAATTCTATATTCCACTAACAAGAACAGAATATCCTGTTGTTACCATGTGTACTTGATGAAAATCAAATTTAGCTTTAATAAACCATAATGCAATCCTTGGATCGAGTAGAATGAACTGCACATCTGCATGTCAATAATATAAATCTGCAACCACATAACAATTCTCTTCCAACAAATGTTAATGTAAAAGATGCATGACAAGATGCTAATCAATCAAGGATCTTTACTAATCCACATATTCATCACAACACCATAAAGCAATGAATTACCAAACTGCATAACTAACATTTCATAGAGGTTAAGTTAGGACATAAGACTTCACTCATGCGTGCAGTTCGACAATCAAAGACCTACCTGTCTCATTATATTCATCAGACTGTGCCACCAGTGTACCAGGACCAAATGACACAAGGAATGGCAATGGATTATTAAACCAATAGACATCAACATCACTCATTAGCACATTATATCCCAGTTTTAAAATCTGCAGAACTATTCTGGATTTCACTTTTGTCACTCTTCGAAAGCACTCAGTGCCAAAGTGGCAATCATTGAAGCTGATATTGGTTGGAGCCTGTGGGTTCTTGAAGACTGGTAGTCCCTGTAACACAGAAACATTGCAGCAATAAGCATAAGAAAAGAACTGATAATGATCTGCCCGAACTGTGATTTAAATTACAAGTTTTTTCTCATAAGAAAGAAATGGAAGATGTAAGCATCAAAAGTACATTAAAAAGGAACGGAGACAAGATACCTGCAATATCGAGAAATGGTAAATTTCAGAATCAAGAGCACATATGACAAAATTTTTGACTGCCAGATGCCGCAAACGGCATACCCAATTCATAAGCATGTCCCGATAATTGTTTCCAGCTATTGCAAGGACAATAGACTTATCCTTGTCTGCAATAATTCGAAGGAGCAATTCTATTGAGAATGGCAAAGACAGAGCTGAAGACACTTCAGAATTGTCTTCATTCAGTTTCTTGACTATAGGTTGATATGACAAATCCAACGCATCAATATTATTCACACAGGCCTTCCATTTCTTGTCTCTCTGTGAGCGTGAAAATATTGTGAACATATGTGACTTCTGCTCTCTGCTTGACAAATGAGGATCCGTGCTATAAGTTGCAATTCCATCAGATACTTGTAAGGAGGAAACATCATCTTCTACTCGATTGATTAAATAATATTTCCCCAAGCACCTTACTAGCTTACTGGGGTTTTTGCAAAATTTACTTTGTTGGAATGAAAATGATCCATACAGTGCAGAAAGTTGGTAATTTCCTCTGTGCCTCCAAACCAATTCATCTGCACTCCCAGCATCCTTGGAGAAGTTGCTAAACCATTGGCCCAAACTTTGAGGATACAGACTAGACAGCACCAAGCTGGAATCAAAAGCAAATCTCAAGTCTGAGGCTAACACCTCATTAACAAGCCATTCATTGTGAAGTCCCTCCCCATATACAAAAGGAGGAACAATCCCAGCATGCAAAGGCCGAACTCCATTGTTCCATGCCATAAGAAGTCTCTCACCGCAAGTACTCCAATTCCCTTTCTGAATCAGATGTTCCTGCAGCTGATGGAAGAAGAAATGCATTTTATCGTATGCCACTGCTGATCCGAGATATTAGATTTGACAACAATAGGTTCCACAATACCTTCTCAACTTCTATAACTTCTCCATCTTCTTGTAACCAATGCTTCCCGGTGCCCAACAATTGAAAAGGGAAGTGCAAAACACAATGGGGCTTGGCAAAAAGGAACCAGCCATGATTTAGATTCTGAGAATAATGCAGAATACCAAGGAAGTCAGGTAGGAGAATGGTCTCAGGGTCAATAAGAACAGAAATTCCAGAATTAAAGGCCTGTGACCTGGAAACCATGGAATGGAAAAATGGGGTCCCCATGAACCTAAAACAAAAATAGCAGTCAGTATAAATAAGTCAACATATGACTACTGACATAAATATTAAAGCACACATATAATCCATGTTACAGTGTCTAATTTTGTAGGTTATAATAAAAATTCTCATTGAACTCCCTAAACTATAGGAATCTCAATAACTGATCCAAAATTATATAATGCCTTGAAGCACATATCTATATCTTTTCTTTCAGTTCTTAGGACCAAACAATGGAACATACTCAGATATGCACAGGAAAAGCAGAGAGAAGAGGAGACATGTGAACTAGTTTCTGCGTACGTGAAATCGATGGCGGACTCAACGGTAACACGCGGCCCAAGGGAGCGAGCTAAGGCGAAGATGGACGGGTGCTGACCGAAGAGGACGACGGAGACGTCCGGCGACAGGGCCAGCCACGACCGAACAGCCATGTCCTGTCTCGCGCCCACCAGATCCGGCTTGTCCGTCGAGAACCGTCGCGGGGCGGCGAAGATGACGATGCTCGGCGAATCGGGCCGATTAAGAGAACCATCATCGGGATGGAGCTGCCGGTCCTCCGGCTGTTGTTGTAGTTGGTTCAGAACGAAGTAAATCGAGCCAGTGAGTGAAAAGAAGATGATGCAGACGCATCCAAATCCTCCGAGCAAGAATGGCATTCCCTGCGCGTGCGTGCGTTATTTGAGTACATACAAAAGAGGAAGAAGAAGAAGAACAACGGAGAGATGGATGAATGGTACCGTGAAGTTAGGGCGGGGACGGCGGTGGCGGCCGCGGAGACGAGAGGGGGCGGAGGGGAGGGAAAGGGAGAGGTGACGAAGGGTGTCATTTGTGGTGGGCGCCGTTGCGGGGGGCACCAACATCGCGATTAGGGGGAGGAGAACAGGTGAAATAGAAGGAAACGATGAACCTGTTAAAGAAGTGGCCGCCGCGTGAGAGACAGAGGAAGAGGGACTTCAACCGAAAAGATACCAATATGTAAGAACATTGCATGGACCGAGAAAGCATCGACTTCGGCGGGAGATGGACTCTTCGGTCAACGCTCTTCCAATCGGGAGCGCGCCACCTCCGCCCTCCGTCGCAATTCCACGCCTTACTTTGCCAACTTTCGTTGACTTTTGCCCTAATAAAAGCGGCGATCTCATGGTATAAATTTTGCATACGTCCTTCTAAAATTAAAAATACCATGAATATATAAGTATTTATGAAGGCTTTTTTAATTTAATTTAGAGCGCCATTTATAATATATATATATATATATGTTATAAGTAAAAATTAAATGTTAATATTCCATCACATCCGGTCCTCACAGGTTACTACTGTACAAATAAATATCGACATCTTTGTTCTATATATTTTTAATTAAATAATTTATTAATCGTAATCACTTAACAATGTAGATCGGATTATGATCTTACTGTCTATATTTGGATACTTACCTCTTTGAATAAAAGCTTAGTATTATTGCATTTCCATTGTCCCTACTATGGAAACACACCTTTTATATACATTGACCAACTTATCATCTCTTACAGATACGTGTGATGCTCATCTATGTAAGCCCCACTTGTTAGATTTGTGAGAGACCACATCACTCATTGAAAGATTCAGAAGTTGATTTTGATGGAATATAAACATAAATAACTTTTATATATAAACAAATACTAGCCGGTCATAATACAGCGAAATTAAATTGAATCATAATCAAATAGAACATCAAGATATACGTGAAAAACTCCTTCAATATGAAGGATAAAAATTATGGGATAAATTAGAGATAATCTATTATAAAAATAATAAATATACAAATCTCAATCTCTTACCCAAAACCTTAGCAACAATCACAAGAGAATAATTGGGATACAAGGATCACATCACTATGCATAATATCTAAATCCTCCCTAATTCTCCCCAAGTAATTATAGTTCTCCCTAATTCTCCCCAAGTAATTATAGTAAGAATCTATGAGATGAAAGCACTACTAGATGATTGAGAACAGTCTCTCTGTGTTATCCTTGTATTCTTCCCTTTCTTTCTCTTCTTTTTCTACCTTGTTCTCTCATTTTCTTTGGAATCCCATAACTGTCAAAAACTACCATATTGCTGCCTTTTTCTACCTCTATTTATAGTCACCGCACTCCCCCTAATATAAATTAAGGTTAGATTAAGATGGGGTGAGCTATGAGCTGATAAAGCCCATATTGAGTTGAATATGGATTGTTAGCCCAACAGATTCATGTTCTAATTATTTTTAAAAACTTAATATATTTAAAAAAAATGTTTTTATCCCGTTATAACCTTCAAACTGATTTGAACCGATCAGTTGTGTTAACTAACTGTCTCATATAACCTTTCACCTCCCAATATAACTTAGTGTGGTCGCAATCAGCTTGTTGGAGTAACAGATTAATTGTAACTAACTAGTCGGCCGAATTGTTAAAGATGTTAGTTATGCAAATTAGGCAAACACGAGTGC